GTAATTAACTGTCTAAAAATGGAATTTACATTTTTTTGTTCAAAGTATTATTAACTTTGCACAATCAATATAACTAGGTCGTCACCTAAAAGTAGCATTTTTATTGAAATCCGAACTTGTGTTCAAAATTTTAATTACCGGGAGAAAAGTAGCCCTACTATATAAGACTTGGAATATTTAATACATTTTTCTCCAGAAGTAATTCTGTTTGTTTTTGGCAACTGTCTTCGACAACCACATGATTTATTTCTTCATCTTTTCTAAGTTGAATAAAAGCTACTCTGGATACGGAAATTGGAAGGTGAGATTCTTTCTCCAGAGATGATGAAAGGAATGAAAGAGCATTTATTGCATTCATCTTCATTTGTAATTAGTTTTTTGTTTTGCTTACACCAACAAAATTCATCAAATAATATGATTTTTACTATAATTGTTTTTGTTAAAAGACTTTAAAACATACTAAAATTTTCTTTTAAATTTTTGAAATCAATGATGCTTAACACTAGGTTTACGGGACGCGTCATTTTGACGCATTTCGAATTTTATAAGGAAAATTACAAAACCCGTTTGCATTTTTATTTTATCTCTTGTAATGACTTTTATCCATTGATCGTGGTAAATATATATTGAAGTCTATATTTTCTACAAAAGCGTTGAAATATTGAAATTCGCTTTGTGGTATACCTATCTCTACGGATATGCGTCAATTTGACGCGATCGTAATTTAGACAAACTTTTGAGTAAACATGCAAACATCACATCAATAATAAATAGGAATGTACCGACAATATTTCGATCCGTTATCCGATATCGTTATCTCAAATGAAACAAGCGATAAACAACTGTTTCCGATATGCAATAATAGAAAGAACAAACGCAAAATGTCAATTAATGTCAGATTTAGAAGGTTTCAGTTGCTTAGTTTGAGTATTGAAAAATAAAATACTAGAAAATTTCATATATATATATCTCATATTTTCATTTTTTACCCTAATAGTTCATAATTACATTGGTTTCTAAGTGTAGAGATGCCAACTGCTCTGGACATGCCAAAATAATTTTTAAAAAAACGGTAAATAACTATACTAAGTAAATTTTGCAAATATGAAGTGGTGAAATATATAAGCCTACGAATTATTTAGAAATAGTGGTGGATAAAAATCAACTAAATTGAATTTATTAAACCAAGAATCAAAATTTATAAACTACCACTTTAAAATATATATTTGCTGTCCGGAGCAAGTTCTATAAGTGCTGTAATATGTATTCATTCCTGCGCATGCAGAGATGCCAACTTGCTCCGGACAGAAAATAAATATTTTAAAGTGGTAGTTTATCAATTGTGATTCTTGGTTTAATAAATTCAATTTAATAGATTTTTATCCACCACTATTTCTAAATAATTCGTTGGCTTATATAATTCGCCACTTATAGCTATCTACTTATAGCTCTTTTATAATTCTGGCATATATATAAAACTGCTTCTTTTCCAAGATAAAGTAGATATTGTTGAAAAATTTAAAAAAAGAATAAGTAAACTCCTCCCCAAGACTAGCTATAACTGAAATGGTTTTACTACCAGCCTTTCCTCATTTCCGTCTCGCTTTCACCCCTGTTCCTGCGTCAAATTGACGCGTGTTTGTAGGGATGCAGAGATGCCAACTGCTCCGGACACGCCAAAATAATTTAAAAAACGGTAATTAACTACAAAGTAAATTTGACAAATATTTAACTATTTTCGCCAGGTTTTTAAAAGGTATAGCATGACATAATTGCTGTAAAGTGGTGAAATATAGAAGCCTATGAATTATTTAGAAATAGTGGTGAAGAAAAATCTACAAAATTGAATTTATTAAACCAAGAATCAAAATTTATAAACTACCACTTTAAAATATATATACTTGCTGTCCGGAGCAAGTTGGCACCTCTGGGGATGTAAGAAACGTCCGTAAGGTATGTAAGTATGTATGTAAAAAACGTCCGTAAACCTAGTGGTAATTTAAATCTTGCATATATCTCCATTTTCCGATATTTTTTGTTTTGCTTGCATCCACATAATACATCACCTAATACGATACAATCAAAATACACAATACAATTAGTTTAATAAAACAACTGAAAATTTAACATTTTTTAAATTAATATTTTACGCCAGACTTGCATATACAGTACAGAACCCGTTATCCGGAAATCAGAAAACCGGAAAACCAAAAAACCGGAACGAAATTCGATAAATTTTCCCGCAATTTTTAAAAAAGAAATTCTTTTTCCTCATAAGATTTTAGGTTTTTTCTTTCTTTTTTGAAAGATGTTTACCTTATGTATTACCTCATCGTTTTTTCTTATTTTTAAGATCATTTCCAAATTTTTTTTTTTATAGTTGGGTTTAACACTAAAAAAACGGCTTTTTGTAGCGATTCAGAAAACCGGAGAAATCAGTTATCCGGAATAGCGATAGTCCCGATAGTAATATTTCGCAGGTTCTTTTTCAGACCTTTCAATGTGAAATGATTTCACCATAAACCTTTCTTGGCATAAACGATTTTATTTAGATGCATACTTATGCCACGGAACAAACATGAAGTATATAGAAAATAATAGTAATTAATCACATAATCAATGAAACTTCGCGCTCCATCATAGAACATTCCAGTCTTCTCACACCAAGCTAGAGAAC